TTGTCCTGAACCCCTGCAGTGTTCGGTGATGAATAGTTGCTATATATCGTTGGGCTTGTTGTCTTGACCTCCAAGTTGTCTTAATTCGTTTGGTGTGCCCGACAGATCCCCACAGATCTCCACCACCCAGACGGTCACCAGGGACGACTTCCCCATTTGTACCTCAGTCAGTCACGCCGCCCACCTGATTATTATATTGTCGAGAGTACGGCGCAGTTGTGCTTCACTTCTCCAGCATCCTGCCTCTACGGCCCTGGGTTGTATCTCAGTAAGTCCATGTTAGTCCTAAGCGGATCCTCTCTTTGTTATGTTCGTGCCAGGACAGTTCCTTCCTGTCACGTCTCGGTTTCCGTATATCAGGGTGTGGTGTTTCTCTGTCTTACCTTCCAGGCGTTAACATTTGAGACGATTCTGGTGGTTTCCTATACATAAGTACGCCTAACCACCCATGTGCTTCATCGTCACAATCGTAACTGACTAAAAGAGTGAGATATATCGTTGAACAAATCATAAGTAACAATATAAACATGAAATTAAATATTGGTCGTACCAAAATATATATTTTTCAATGCATCATAAACATTTCGAGGTAACTGTTTAAATGCTATGATATAACAAATATAATTTATGTTAATGCGGGTTGTGGCCTCAAAGCTGCCGTCATTATCTCGAGTTCCCAAACCCTGGGTCCCTGGGTAAGGTTGCTAAACAAAAGTTTTCATTAAAGAAGGATTTGGAGCCATGGAGTGAACACACAAGTTGCCTACGAATCACTGATGATTTTTCACAATGATTGGGAAGCGGCTGGTCTTGTAGCCTGTGTGAGGTCGTGTAGGCCAGGAGTGGTGTGACGTTCAACAACCAACATATGGATGAGGACTGTACCTCACTAACTGGTGGTGTCGTGGAGGACCTCGTGTGTTGTTGCTCACTGGTGGACTGGTGGTATCGTGGGAGAAGTAAACATTGTTATGACCTCAGTCACTGTTTACAATGACAATTGCTCTTTCGAAATGAATTTGTCACTTTTGTATCAGACGTAGATTGATCATCAATCCTTGTACTATTTTCTTGGTGTATGATTGCGGCTTTGTCCAAGGGGAGAGAAAGAGGGAATCACGAAAGGGTTAACATATGAACCAGGCAGCTACGAGAACGCCGACGGGTACGTCCATACTCCAGGCTGGTCAACACAACAAACGAACAAATGCCTCCTGCTGGTCTCAATGTCCTCCTCACTGTGCACCACCTATCGATAATTACAAATCTTTATCAAGACTTTAAAAGTTTCTCCTCGTGGAAACAAAAGCACAGAGCCAAAGTACAGCACCTGAAACAACTACAATGCTTGAGTACCCATTCACCTTGGTAATGTTGGTGCTCTTATTTTTACATAAATTATAAAAGAAAAAAGGTTTAGAAAATTTTTAAATGAATAATCATCCTTTAATTAAATCTTTCAATAATTAGTGGAGTTACAAGGCTGGTTCAGAGGTTATTAATACCAGAGAGTTAATACACAAGAGAATATATTGCAAGTTGGTTTAGTTGTAATGAGTAGCGTGTGTGTAGGGCTTACTACATTATTACCCTATAATGTTTTGACCTTACTGCTCCTAATACAATCTTTATTAGGCAGCTACACTATTAACTTCTATTAATTTTGTTTTATGGTTCTACAAACAATGGTGCTGTGTGATGCCCGAAGACGTTGGGGAGTGAACTGACTACCATACATTACAATGCTGTTTACATTTCTTTGTTGTAAAAATACTGTCATGTGGTGAAGGTTTTGCAGCTGTTTTTAACAGATGAGAGAATATACAATGTCGCGATATTTCCACAGATGTGTCAGTGTTGTAAGCAGATTATATAATACACTATGATATGAGTAGAGCGTAGACTGCAGTGTCATCAGTTGATGATAGAATAGTCTATTATGGGCATATAACAGAATACATAACGTTGTTACGTTTCCACAGGTGTGTGTTACGAGCTGAGGACACAGCATAATATAACCTCAATGTTAACTTATTACACGGAAAGTTAGGTGAAGCTCAACTTGTATGAGTTTATACCAAACAGGAGAGTTAGGAAGACTCTCATACATTATAAGTTTCATCGCCTCGCTTAACTGACCCAAGTCATGGCTCTAAGTTATAAATCTACTTTACATGCATCTAATTTAGGAATCATATTCTAATTGTTTTACAATCTTGTGATTTTATGCATTTTTTGTATAAGATTTAATACTTATTGCCTCTCAGGATCGTTTGTTCAGCCACACACACACACACACACACACACACACACACACACACATTATGGAAAAAGAGAGACTCAACAGTGTCTTTTTCCCCCCTCACAGCTCCTACCTCCATTTCGCATACTCTTCGTGTTCCCTTGTCGTGCCCACACCACGTAAACTGTCACATCAGTCAGGTACACACAGGCTACACCAACAGTGGAAATAATGAAAGGTGGAAACTGTGTCGCGTGCCTATTTTTTACCCACCGTGTACCTCAAATGTTAGTCTGAATTATTAAAAGTTCTCTATTGCAGAAAATAAGATCTTATATGCTTTGCTTATTAACCCATGGCAAGTAAATAAACTGATAAAACGATCTTTAACGAAACGCTTTTTTCATTCCTACACACATTTTCACTTCAAATATTATTTTCAGTTTTTTATTGTATCTTCTCTATTATTGTTTATGAAAATGTGTTCACTGTTATAGCTCTCTATGTAAGCAGGAGAAAAATCCAGTCTTAAGAGAGCTAATCTTTGTAATTTTACAGAATAAAACATTTTAAGGCAACACCGAAAAAAAAAATATTGCGTCGTTTTTTGACAGAGGCAGATTCTACAACTGCATTAAATTATATAACACGAGTTCCTGCCACAGGTCCCAGTTGCAGCAACACTCACAATTACCCAGGCAGCCAAAGCAGGATACTTAGCCCAAATTAAAATTTATTCTCGGTTATAATCTTCATAAAATGCTGATTATTCTTGTTTGTGGTGTATATTTTCAAGTCAAGGAAGGATGAAGTTCTCAATTTGGGGCAGTTTAAGAAATTCACGATATTGATATGTTGCAAATAATATAAAGTATGACGTTTATAATATTCTGAAAAATAACATAATTCGCACAATATTATAGACCACTTTTCCGCCCTTGTAATCATGATGTTATCTGGCACAACATGACTGCGAGTTTGATCAATATTGGTGTATAAATGGCAAGAGTTATGCCTAGAAACTCTCTGTGTACACACATAACAGGGAGACGCCTGCAATATTCTGATTATACAGTCTCATGGTCTCTCGTTGGCTCAGAAATGATGACGCTAAATAATTACATCTCAGGCCTGTAATAAATATGACCAGCCATGACTAGGAAGAGGGAGTTAAGGGTGTTATATGGGAGAAGTCGAACAATGTAATGGGAGAAACTCACCGATGATAAGGAAAATAAGTTTATTATGGGAAAAAGTTGATGACAAGGCGGAGAAGATTATCATGAAATTGGTGAAAAGGAAAATTTAATTGTATTGTGAAATATCGGGAAATGAGTGAAAGATAAAATAACTGAGATTTAAGGTAAAATACTCAGAAGGTATAACTGATATATAAAAGCTACTAAACATCATTTCATCCTAAACATATCGGTAAACAAACAACGTATCTGTGAAGACGCTGAAGACATGACTTAATTGATACTTTTCTGGTGAGAATAAACAGAAAATAATAAACTATAAACAAACTCAATAAAGATTCACCTGTGCAGACCGATTGCAAGTTGTAATGTAGTGAATGATGTGGTTGTGTCTACCAGCAGGTGACGTCACATGTGTTGTACTGTAAATATTGTCTGGGGTGAAGTGATGATATTGGATATAAAGAAACATAAGAGAAATAAGAGGAAAATCGAATACTATACCTTAACGTCAAGAGATTTAGATGTTACAGGATGAAACCTTTTAGTGAGATGTGACATATACACAATTACTGTGTTTCATAAATACTGACAAGACGCCAGTAACGAGGATAAAGTTCAACAGTGAAATGAAAAAACAAAACAAATTAATTACAATGGCATATGACTGAAGCCGGATCACAGGAGATAAGACAAGGAGTGTAGCTGGGTATAAGCAATCCAAAGAAGAGACCTCTTGTGCATTATGAAGAACACCCGACAGCATCACCCTTATCCACTACCTCCTAAGATGTCCCCACACACAACGCTTCTGTGACGCCTGCTGGACCACCACTCCACGACCCCCTGACGGAGACACGATGATCCTCCCCATACTGGCCAGATATTTTGTAAAAAACATTGATTATGTGTTAAAAGAATATCCTTCCTTCCTTAGGCTTTAGTAAGCCCCTTTATAATATTTATGCTGTATATACTTGTCACACTTGCCAGATGCTTCTGGTGTCATTGTACAGGGGTACCTAGTGACAACACTAGGATCCCGCTTCCTCTATCAAGGAATAAACAATTGAAATTGAATTGAAGAAGAGACGCATATTGCCTGACAAGAGGAAGCTTGAATGTAGAAAGAAGGATCAAGAGGCTGACTTGTATCTAGATGAAGAAGAGTGTGTGTGAGGCTGTTTGGCAAAGTGGATGAGTGTTTGGTGACTAATAAAACCAATCTCTTATAATTGGTATGAAGTTATTGGGGGAATTGCGTGTGGTTAAGGTTAAGGCTTAGCGTATACTCGTATGATACAGATTATGGAAGTTCTTCGAAAATATTAAGAATACAAAGAGAAAGAAAAAATAATGTTATCCAGGCAGACGAAGAGCAGAACAAAGGCTGTCTTGCATGGCCAAAAAAATCATCATGATATCATCAGCTGCAATGGTACCTGTGTGACCATTATGACCCACTGCCAACATAAACAAAAGTGACAGTAACAGTAGAGCTTAAATGATACCTTCAACTTCCACAGATCAACTCTCGTCATCAACAGTACAGTACTCACCGCTCGGTCTCCCAGGTGGTTGACCCGACAGTGTAGGAAGGTGGTCCTCCCAACGGCGCCAATGACGCGATTGCTGGTGGAGTTGTCGAAAAAGGGCTTCGGGAGTGGCTGGTCCCACATAGGTGCTGGCCGGGATGGAGGGACACGCTCCAGGATCCCTTCACCTCCTGTTGGAGGGAAAAGAATCTTATTCAACATTTCACATCATGCAAATAACACAGCACACAAGCAATTTATTAGAAATTCCATTTTGTTTTTGCAACTGAAACAGCTTCAAGATTCAAGCTGGCTGGTCAATATGTGCACAACGCGATGCATCTACGACCTTGAAAAGTGACGACACAACGGGGAATTGAAACAGCATTTTCAAAAACGAAAACAAAAACTACACAATCCATCTTTGTATTTCTTTGAGTGTCCGACGTTGGAATTTAGCTATTCCGGGCATCCTTTGTGTTAAACCATGGTTTTATCTTCCTTCTTTTTCTACGCGGATACACAGGTTTGGAATTGGTGAAAATTTGTGAAAAAGATATTACTTTGTGTTGAGGGTCGTATACAACGCTACACAGGTTATGGAAGTTGGTAAAACAAAATGGATAAAAGACAAGTTTATTTCACTGTTCAGCATTAGGGAGAGCACCACACTCAAGAGTTACAAAACATTAATGTTGAAACAATAAGGGAGACGGGGGAGCAGATTTCCTTAAGACCCGTCACTTTCACCCAGGATCAATAGGTCCCCCTCCGGTGTTAACCTTTCCTTACTGAACTCTCCCGTTACTCAGACACCGCTGTTTTAACACCCCATCATTGGTATAGATTTGGTTATCAACACTAATCAGCTTTACTCCCTATTGAACAACGTCTACTGGACACACGAGCAACTCAGCTCAGTCTAAAAGCTTGGAACAAAGTATTGTACCATGATTCCAAACACGGATAATCAGATCTAGTGAAGGTGAATTCCTGCTGAATGTTGATTGTCACCAGTATATCAACCAGTGCTTTCTTTTCAGTGTCATTAAATTTAACGTTAAAAGTAAAACTGAACAAAAATTCACAGTTTCTGAATCACGTATACATCAAATGTCAATAACTGGGTAGTATTCTCGACGAACTTGTTTCAACGACGCACTCTAAAAAGCCGATTCAGAGAGGCACTACACAGTAAGCTGTTATACCTTATTGTTAGGGGGAGCTCAAAACCCATTTATGCTTTGATTATTTGAATGATTTTTTTCTGGCACGATTTAAAGGCTTTTTCAACTGCGAGTAACAAGAAGATAACAGGGGTAACTCAGAGAGAGGTTCATGTGTGATTTTAGTTTAATCTACATGTGTATGAGTTACAGAGGTCAAAGGGCTTGGCAGGTGTAAAATATCAGAGGCGTAGGTGTCAAGGTGAAGGGACTTGTCGAGGTTTAGTTCGTGAATTTGTACCGTAGTGCAGGGTTCTGTTACATCCTCACTATCTGAACGACCTTTACTAGTAAACCTATATTTTAGTAGTACAGTATACCTGTATTTACTGTCACTTGGTTAAGGAGAGACAAGACCGAAATTTTATCAGTTATAATAATAATAATAATAATAATAATAATAATAATAATAATAATAATAATAATTTGACAGAATTTTAAGTTATTTGATTAGGATATTTCTTCATTGTAATTGCACCTTTAAATAGACTGAGTTGACAGACAAAACTAAAACACTACTGGAATACATGATGAAGCAACACCCATAAGGTAATACAAAAACTACAACACTTCACAACACCACAATGTCAGATAACAACATATGAGATGCAACATATATCTATAATACAAGCTTCAACAACAACACCTAAGATGTAAAAAATTGCTTAATGAAACAACACTTCAAATGTAACGCGTCTCTGTAACATGCCAACAACACCAGATCACGTACTTATCACAAACAAATAAAACTCCACAATAACCCACCACAACACCCAGGACGTAACAACACCTCATAAGACGTCACAATACCACCAAGTCCAGAGCGTCAAGATAACCTCTACAACTCTCAGGGTTATTTACCTCCCTATTACCTACCACAATTTCCGCCCCTAAATAACCTCTGGATGACAGCCGGAAATTTGATGGAGTATAAATTAACTTTTTCATTAGATTTTTTTTTTTTCGGTAATTCAGATTATGATTATGTGTTGGGTGGTTGTGGGTTGTGTTGGTGACTGTAGGGAAGGGGGGTTGTGTTGGTGAAGGGGTTGGGTTACTGTGTTAGTATGTTGGTGACTGTAGTTTGTGTTTGTGTGTATGTGTGTGTGTGTGTGTGTGTGTGTGTGTGTGTGTGCAGCTTGTGTTGTTGTGACGGTGGGTCTTATATATAGAGACGATAATACAATTGGACAGTATTAGTAAGGAAAAGGAGATAAGTAGCAGGGAGAAAAGAACAGAAAAGAACAAAAAGATTAATCGGATTATTTGAGGTAAACAAAAAATAATAATTGTGATTAACGAAATATAACAAAAAGGAATTGATGACCGGTGACACCAAGCCAGAAGTGATTGGATCTAATGAAAGACTGTTAACTATCCTCAGGCAAAGAAGTTCATAGATCTTCAATAAGGTATCAGGATATTGCCGTCCAACAGAGAGCAAATGAGAGGCACGAGTCACGAGGGAAATGACGGTTTAATAGTATTATTCGTCTCATTTCACGACAGCATCTGGGAGAGAAGGTAAAAGTTTTAAGCGCCGTACTTGACAACTGCATTACGAAAATAAATTAAAATTCTTGTGACGGAAAGTCAAGACAACTAATATCCAAGACACTCAATATGGAATTAGTTACAGAAAGTCATATAATTAAGATTACATATACAGGGTATAAATAATTATCTGAAGTTCTTTCCCTCAAGGCTCAAGGATTTCGCGTTAAAACCTCTCACCTGAAGAATGGGTCGACACCTCAGAAGTCTCAGTCACCACTTTTTGTGAAGGATGGATGTATTAATATCAACGGCGAAACAAGGTGAGGTTCGTTTTCATCAACGAGTTAGATTTTCAAGAAACAAAACGCTCACTATTGTTGTTAAAGTGAACTATGATACTCAATACATCAGCTGTACCGGGATGTAATCATAAAAATAGTATTACCTTGAAACAATATTGCGTTTTAGAGATGGGAAGGTTTTTTTAGAATAATTAAAATATTGTTTTTGATGGTTATTTTTTTTTTGTGAGTAGAATTTTACGTTTATCATTATTGTTGACTTACTCTGAACAAAGAATAATGAAGATCAGTAAAAAAAAAATCAACAATACTCTGATCAAAACCAGATTTAACGGGCCAGCATTTCCACTCTAAAGGGATAAGTAACATTATATTCTTGTAATTTTAGAATTTCTTAGATAGAGCAACAACTAGGCGATTAATTTTAACTTGCATCATTTGAGAGAGACAACTTTGTTATGAGTGTCTTGTTGGAAATGAGGAAAAAGGAAATACAATTGTAGCTAAAAGAGTGAAGATTCACTTTTAATACTCAAGATGAAAGAGAGTGAATGTGTATTACGAAAAAGGGTGACAATTGATGGTACTGAAGGTAATTACTCAAAATTAACAAATCAAAGTGGGTTTAAATGACCATTACCTCGCAAATGGCCCAAGTTCTAAAAGCATTAAGTGATCAGATTGATTATGTTTTCCGGTCTGGTTCTGTTGGTAGTAATTGCAAGTGGTGGGTCATTTGGGGAGGCTGGTGTAGGACTTCAACAAAGCTAAAGTCTCTCTAACAGTGATGGAAGTATCTTTTTATCTGTTTGTAATTAACTAAGATAAGAAGGGTTGCTCTCTATGAGTTACTGTTTGTGATGTACCGTGTTCTAAACTAACGGTTGCTTCAGTAATGATTCTTGACAAGTAAATTAAAAATGGAGTTGATACAGTGATATGTCCCGGTTTAATCCAAAACTTGATTGGTTAATTATATTCCTGATTTCCACATTACAACACACTGCCGCTCATAGTACTGTATCATGAAGCTGCCGTAGGATAAATGTAAATTTCCGAAGACAGCCAGACCACTGACGGGTTCTCCTGAGAGCCTCTTTATTTACAGTAAAAGGTTTTGGTTAATTCATTGAAATGTAAGAATTACGATTTTTCTCGAACAAAAAAGTTTTCCTGTGACTGGAGAACCACAATCGGGCATATCAAAACTTTATCGGGTCTGAATCAAATTGAGTCCGGGGAAAACATTTCAGAAATAAAGTCAAGCATGTCTGGTATACTTCTCGTTATTAACTTATTAACTATTGTTTATAATGAAGTTTCCCGATAGTACCCACACAATAAATTGTTTCGAGATATTTACGGAAAGTTGGTGAAAATATTTTAGGAGTTTATTTCCACCACATTTGTATTTCGCTCTATTTAATCCGTCTGGTCCAGCAGCTTAATGTACCTCTTGGATTGTAAAGTACTCATCCAGCTCGGGTCTGATGGGCTGCTGTGGAATCCCTACCGAAGCCGGAAGAAGTCACAGTCAAGGATGTGTAAATAAACCGCAATTAACTCTTTCTAATTCTAACAAATTCCCTCGCTGCTCATGGAAGGAGTGTGTCGTCAAATAATCTTAATGGCGCAAAGCCCTTCATAGTTACATCTTAAAGGTGCATCGCCACTTACAGCATGTCCGTAAATACCTTTAGTGTCGCAAAAAATAAAAATAAAATAAACGCTTTCCCTGGCAATCAACATAACTTTGCATACCGTCAGCATTCTTCCTCCATCACAAAATTCTCAGTGACACGCAATTGTTACTGTGTATCTGTTCATGAATAGATAAGTTTGTCTCTTCTTTATGCCACTTGTATTGTTATGATGTTGCTGAATGCTTCCTCTTAAAATGTTGCTTCCTTTGATTATATTATTGCTCTCATTAAAACAATATTGAAGTGAAACTCTATTAATTATATGAAGATTATACACAGGGCTCTCCACAACCACGGCCTCCCTCCTGCCCGTCCTCAACACTACCTCCCTCCTGCCCGTCCTCCACACTACCTCCCTCTTGCCCGTCCTCCACACTACCTCCCTCCTGCCCGTCCTCCTTTTTTCCCCTCCCTCCTGCCCGTCCTCCAACACTACCTCCTTCTTGCCGTCCTCCACACTACCTCCCTCCTGCCCGTCCTCAACACTACCTCCC